TGGCTATATTAATATCAGTTAATTTTATAGACCAGCAGTCCTAAAATATGGAATGTGGGACCAGGTCAGGGTGGACCATGGCAGGGAGTTCTACTTGACTCTGTACGTGCAGGAGATGCTCTCTGAGTACAGGCATAACTTGGAAAGGCAACCATATTGCCAAACTCAGTCAACAAAAGTGAGTTTACCTATTAAGCATGTTTAACAAAAAATCTAGGTACACAACTATCTTGTTCATCCTGTTTTTTTAGATGAGGTAAATGATGGCTTTACATTTTGCTTCCACAGAATCATACAATAGAAGGAATGTGGCCAGAGATTAGTAAATTACCCACTAAAGGAGGCTCTCGTGCAGCTGCTGGATCAAGAAATAATAGACATGGATAACATTACAAGATACTGTATATCTAATTTGACTGGAGAGCTGTGCAAAATTGGAGTGGAAAGAATTGTACAGGCATGGAATGCACACAGAATCCCAGGTGAGTTACATATTGTGAATTTTGAATTCTAAAATCTAAATGGTTTTAATATACAATAGCTACTAGTCCATCAATTATGTCTTCACAGGCAGAAGAATTCCAAACAGTTTGGCAGATGGGGGCTGTCCTAAGAAAATTGGAGAGAGCCTACTGCCACATGCCTCCCAGGCAGCAGACCTGTACCAGCAGGACATTGGCTCGTCACTGACGAGAGTCTCTTGCTTTGGCAAAGACCCCTTTTCAAGTGAGGAGGAAAAATTGTCAGCAGAGGACCGTTTTTCTGAACACTAACCTGACATTTCCGTTTTGTTTGATAGTCGTTAACCATAGCAACGGTCCATTCCAGGATGCACTTTTACATCTAATAAGAATTACCCAACAATATGAATAATCACAAAATGTAAACTTTAATCAGTAATTTAATCTGACTGAGCATGGCAGTAAACTGAAATTTTGACTTTTCAGAAGTTTGTACTGTTTTGTACTGACAGCACCTACAAATAGAATCAAATACCATATTGCACTTTAAAACACTGAATAAAAACCAACGAAAGCTCACTGAGCCAAACATGTGTTTCCTTGTAATTGCTATGAACAGGGCAGTTTTCTAAGTATTGCCACATAAGACTGAACATCAGTAACAATAAAAGCTACCCTATAGAATATGTGAGAATTATTCAACCTTAATTATATCTGCCAATGCTGAGAGAGCACCGTTAAGGCCAGATACTCTGTGTGCATGACTAGAAAAATCATCCGTCCTGCATTTGAGGCACTGGGTAGATGTGGCCATCCACTGCTCTACACAGGTTTTGCAGCCTACAAAGCTATTACAGCAGGTGGCAATCATTGGGTCTTCAATTGGTCCTGTAATTCATTGGAGAAAATGCATGGTAAACATTTAGTCCATTTTCATTACACTTAAAAAGGTAAAGGAATATGCATGTCAAGCAAAATATGTAATATAAAATAGAGATTTTACACTGATTTATGCAATTTGTTACAGAAAATTTTAACCAATGTACAGTGTCAGGAATGTCAAAGGTCATTTTGCTATTCATCTGAACAGTGTGTGTCCATTAGATTATATAGTATTTAGTTAATGTATTCAAATTTTACATCCACATTCAGGCCAATCCTGTAACATGGCTAACAGATTCTGCATATATTGAAAAATTTTAAATGGACCTGTCCTGTCACATTTTTCTAGTATTGTATTGTTTGTCTGAACACCTACATCTTTCAGCTGCTCTCAGCAGAGGTTGGCATAGCAGCATTATCCGCATATTGATTCATCAAAAGTTGACTAAAATCTATTCGAGATGTTATCACACAGTACCCTCCTCTAATATTTGCACTGTGCACTGACTAAAATTTCAAGGCTGTACACAGATTCAGTATGGAGTAATAGTTGCAGAACCCTTTTTTTGATCCCCAGTCTCATTAAGGAGATGATAGGAAGAGAATTTTCTGTATATTTGTAAAGAGATGCTCCACAAGATATTAAGTGAAGGGGTGCCAATAATTGTGGCTTACAAAGGACTTTATATTTGAGAAAAATCTTCACAATAAGAACTCCTTTTTCCTGTTAATTATAAATTAAGAATCTAATTTAGGATTCCAGTTAAAAAAACCCCAATGGGTGACTTAATAAAAAGCAACAGATAATGGTGGTACATACCTTTACACACCATGCATCCGAAGGCCTCCCTGATTTGTGCTACGCCAGTGTTACTCAAGATCAGTACAGTACTATTTGTGATGCTGACAAGACTTGAGAGAACTTTCATGGCTGCTGTTACTTCACTCAGTCCTTGAGCTGCCAGGAGAACTTCCTCAATTTTATCATGGATTTCCTGAAGACCTGTGGCATCCTCTTTTTGACTGTAAGAACACAAAAAGAAGTCAACAATACTTAAGACAAACTGACCCATCTCAACTAGCAAAGCAAACACAGACTATCCCAAATAGGTTACTACTACCACTATGGAGGAACTGAATAAGGTGTGAATTATGAATGTGCATAAGTGTGATTTGCCCAACCAAGCAGTTGTTCTTACATTTTAACATGAAAAGTATTCCTGTAAAACAAGGAGAGTAATAATCATAACAACAGCAGATTCATTTTACCTTTTTCTTTTTATTCCTTGCTGGTACTCACTGAAGACTTGCTCTGGGACTGCATAGACCTTACGGGAATTTTGCTTCCAGTAAACAGAGCCTAACAAACAAACAAGAGAATTTTCATATTCATTGCATAGATTTTGTTTGTTAAATAAAGTAACAAAGTTTTTTAACCTTCTGTTCCCTACAATCAGTCTACAATCTCATTTCCCTGGGCATCAGTCAGGATGAAAGGGTCATCGGTGTGAAGAGCATCTTGAACTTTTGCTAGGATACCTTCAGTTGAAGCTTCAAATTCACTGAATCGGACTACAACCATTCGGTTAGGTCTCAGCTTCCCATGGTCAAGCTCAGCAACAAACACAAACCTAGAATTGTTGTTAGAACAACTGCTTAATAAAAACCTCACAAAAAATCTACAGTATTCACAATGATCTGGCTTTTTCTGAAAGAACAACTATAAAGTTTCCTACATCTCTTAGTTTCTTTGAAGCATTGATACCATGACGGGGAAAGCTGAATACCTTTGGAAAGTCTTCACCATGTTTGCTCGGGGTACTGTGACAGTAGTTGGATTTGGAGACCCTGCAGCAGCTGAGGGTGGTGCTGTGCGCAAAAATCGAAAGCGATGGTCGGGCTGTGGCTGAGGGCTCTCTGCCACCGATTGCGCATCATTTCCATGCATTTCGTAGTGGCCACGAGGGTTAAGGTCAAGACAGCTAAAATGGCCATTTGCTCCAGGGAATATTGCCACATTGTCATGTTAAACCACACGTTTTCCCCATCTAAAACAATCTTAATTTTAAGATGTAAACTGTAACAGAACAACGACGAAAACAAGTAAAATTACTATTTGATTACCATCGTTTATCTATCTAAATTTCTAAAACGATATCCACGGTACGCACAGCACTGGAAAAAAAACTTATATTATTTAAATACGAAGCCATTCACCTGAAATATTCTGCCAATTTTTTCGGCGTTCGTGTCCGAGTCTTTTAAAGTGATCATTTTGTTTCCTTTGAAAAGTATATAACTATACCCATCAATTGCTTGATTGGATAAGACATAGGTAGGCTATCTACTGTTTCCGCTTAATTATTTTTTTCCAGTTTTATTTCCGGGTTCATTTAAAAATAAAAACGTAAAATTGAAAATAAAAATATAGAAAATCGAGCTATAGTTTTACAAATAATTTCCTTCCCCACAAAATGCCTCAATAATCATTTACTGTGAGTGGGTAGAAAAACAGAAATCTGATGTGTGATTTTTATTTTAGAATCTGAAACCCAAATAGTGTCTTGAAATCCCTTTTCGATTTTGGTTTCCGAGTCGAAAATCCAATGAATGGAAGATACACACCTAGTACGAACACACACAGCAAGCACACAAAACACAAGCAACGGGAGAGATGAAATAAACAAGAAAACAAATCAAGCCAAAGCGAAGGTACCGAGGGGCGAAGAGAGAAATCAAAATCCAAAAACCAAAACCGTCATACACAGATAATCAAAACCAATAAGCAAACCAAACACACAAGAAATGAACAGAACTCCCTAAGTGTGCGAACTGTGGCCTTTTCTTCACAGGACCCGGAAATGACGAGCGGCGCATCGAAGTTGTCGTGGGCGGGGTTTGGACGGGGAGGCGGAGCAGGACAAGCTGCTGACGACAAGGTCTGTGGGCGGAGCTGAAGACGCAGCCGACGAATGGCGACGAGGGCGGGAAGTCCGAAGAATTTCCCAGGACCTCCTGCAAACACTTCCGGCACGTAACAAAATACTTCATTTAAATACATGATAGTTTTATTATGTCAAATTAAAGATCAAGATTCTTTATTCGTCACATACATAGTTATAACAAGTACAACATGTAGTGAAATGAATCCTGACTGATCCAAAGACTGTGCAAAAAAGAGTAAACAAGAATTTAAAATGATAATTTACAATAGCTAAAAATATAAAAAGTGCAGACAATATATAAGAATGAATTTAACAATATATACATAGAATCAAAATAAAATAAAAATGTGTAAAGTGGCAAGTGATGATGGATGAAATGATTGTTGTGCAATATACAGTGAACAGAAATAAGTAATGTATTTAAAGTGCAGTGTGTATTGACCTAGGAGAGTAGATACACACAACTGTATATATAGATGGGAATTAGATGGGAATACTTGCAAATCACCCATAGTGTGAAATAGTGTGTGTGAGAATGTGTTTGGATGTGCCCTGGGATTAGCTTGTAAGGTGTTCATTTGGCTTGGTTTCTGTGCTACCTGAAAATGGCTCCAGGTTTCATAGCATTACTAATATTAAATTCGATAATTTGTTTATGTAGCCATGAAGTAGACGTCTGAAAGCATTTCTTTGGTTAGAATTTATATTCAGTGATGTTTTCCACCATAAAGAGATTTTAGCATGCTGCTTTTGATGTATTTTATGTTAGGAAATACTTTTAAAAATGATTTAATGATAATTAAATCAATATTTTATTATTCATTTTAAATGTAATATTTTTAAAGAACCAATCTTATCTTTTAATCAGCGATTGCATGATAATCAGAACATTGATCATTTTATTAGCTACACTTGTTGTACCTGCATTCCTTTTTGTTGTGAGCAATACTTACAACAGCAAATTTATTTCAGCTCATAGGTGTGTCCTCAGAGGGCTAGTCTGATGATCTTAAATATATGGATACTTTTGTATGGATACATAGAGTTTTTTTTTCCGTCGTTAAGTGACTACTTACTAATTTTTGTGTTCAGTGACTTTGAGGTACTCAGGCAACACTAGAACCCTGGAAACAAATTCAGCCCTTGAAATATGAATATGTATTTGTTATTTACACCATTATTCTGTTTTGAATCTAGCCACTTGTTTTCTATAGTCATTCTAATGTTTTATACGTCCATTTTAAGTGTTTTTTTTTAACTATATTGTACTATTTCTTGGATAATATTTGTTGCCATTCAACATATTGCACAATCTGCTGTTCTTATATTTGATCTCACTAAAAATTGTGGAATGTAATCCGTTAAAATTGCTCTGATCTGACATAAAACACTAAATGTCAAAGTTGTGTCCCCCCCCCACCCCATCATAAAATATGGGTGTGTTCTTAACTTACTGGCAGGTTAATCACCAACACTATTTACCAGCCATAAAGTAACTGGTGCCGCAGCATTCCCTGATCAAAGACAACACCAATATATAAACTTCCTCTGCTGCTCTTTAAATCCTTTAAATGAAATCTTGAGATACGCAACTTCAAATTATGCCTTATAGCTCACAAAATACTGATCTTAGTAAATACTGAGTATGGAATAGTCTTCCTGTTAGTGTAGTGCAAGCTAAAACCCTGGGTTCCTTTATGGCAGAGCTAGATAAGATTTTAATAAGTCTGAGCTATTAGCGGAGCTGTCCCCAAACAAGCTTGATGTAAATTTCTTATGTTCTTACATGCACACAGTTTAATGGCTTAAGTAAATTATAAAAAGGTACTACTACTTATCTGCCTGTTTCATAAAAAATTGGTTTCAACAAAGTAACATTTAATTTTTAAATGAATATATGGTATAATAGCTTTATTCTCTTTAAGGTCTGTGCATATACCTAGACTTACCTCCTAGAATGCTATACACATTTCAACTGAAATATATAAAGAAGTCCAACAAAATCTAAACTTTTTTATGTAGACATTTGAATAATTACATATATATTTATATAGTACATGCACATATCTTTGTGGGAACTGTCCATTAATTTCCATGGACAAAATGCTAAACCCAACCCAGCCCTAACCTTAACCATAAGCAACCAAACAAAATATAAAGTCTTTTTAATCACACAGACACACACACACACACACAGATATGGTGCTCAGCACCTGGGAGGGTGAGTCAGATGATCTGAAAGGTTTACATACTTTTCCCCATGTGATTCTTGTTTTTCTCCAGTGTTTATCTTAGTTTTTTTCCCCAAAGGCACTGCTGCCATGCCCTCTGTCATACCTGTTTTAAACTTTGTGGATCTTCCCCCTAGGGATGTGAAATAACCTTATTTGGATTTTTGTTTTTTTTCTTTTTGCTTCTACCCCTAATAAGGTTTGTTTTCCTTCCTTCTAGCTCTCCTCAGCCTTCTGCTCAGAACAAGCACAGCAGCATCACTGACTCATTTTTGTGTTCTGTGACTCTGAGGTACAGGCAGCAGTAAAACCCTGGCAACAAATTCAGCCCTTGGAACGTGAATCTGGGTTTGTTGTTTACACCATTATTTTCAATATGACCTTTTGTTTTCAGTCGTATTTTTTATATCATGGCTTTGGTAAATACTATTTTCTTATTGGTCCACAAACTTCACGTGGGTGTTTGTTATTTTCGTTTAACCGTTCCAGCAGCCTAATGGCAATTAATTAATGCCTTTTAATGTTTTATTAAATATGTTGATATAAAAAGCTGTGTGACATTTTATTCATAAATAAACAGTTATTCTTATCAGCATAATTTTCCTTCTTTTCAAAATGCAAGCTCCTGACCTGTATAGTAACAGCTTCTGTAGTAACTTAACAGCCTGGCTACTTCCAGTGAGCAGCCTGACCAGACATTCTATCCTAATAGGGATTATATTTTGAAGAGCACATTGGGACATTATTATTTAATAATAATGAAATATTTTTTTGTCTGAAAAATGTATTATGACTAGTTCATTCTGTTGTTTTTTTGTTGGTTACACGTGGTATAAGGTGTATGGTTATACAAAATTAATCTACTCTAACTTGGTTAGCATTACACCAAGTTGTCACTGATTATGTAAGGGATAATGTACCGGCAGCCGGTAGTTATCGCAGAAATAAGCCCCGACAGTGTGATCAGGACCCGACGCGAAGCGGATGGTCTTGTATCACACTGAAGAGGCTTATTTCGCGATAACTACCGGCTGCCTGTACATTATCCCGCTTATTACACGGCTACTTGCCACATAAGGAAAATGACATGAATGACATGGACATGATCGAATATGAATTTGAAACATTTTATTGGCATATTTGTTTTAAAATAACATTTTTATCTTTCCGCGAAACGATATAGTACCACGTGACTATGCGTTATTACTTTGGAGCGGTTATTATTTGAAAATAACGAACCTGCAAATGTCTCAACTGACCAATCAGAATCAAGCATTCCAGAGAGCCGTGTAATAATTACATATAACTGTTCACCTAGTCATGCTTTATACCTTACTTATACAGTAAATCCAGGTCACCAAATTATTTGCTGACATTACACACGCTGCATGTCTGTTCTTTGTTATTCTTGTATTTGAGCTTATTAAAGATTCATTTTATAACATTTACTATATTACTTCAATTAACATAATTTTTATGTTATTGATCTAATTTAAATTAGGTAATTAAATAATGGAGCAGTACAGTGGTGCAGTAGTTAGCACTATTGCCTTACACCTCATGGACCATGGATTCCAGTCCCCTCCCTGGTCTGATGTGTGTGAAGTCTGCATGTTCTCCCTCTGTCATTGTGGGGTTTCCCCCACAGTCCAAAAGCATGCTAAGGTGAACTGGAGTTTCGAAATTGCCCTTAAGTGTGTCTCAGTAATTCCCTACCTTCTGCCTGTAGGATAGACTCTGGACCATCGCGTTAGGGGAAGCGATATAGAAAATTGATGTATAGATTGCCAGTAGCCCCAATAACTATATACATTCATTTTCCCCCAAAAAATGATATTTTACTAGAATATATTTTGCAACACTAACATTTTTATGACCCACACACATATTTGCATCACACTTGACAAAGGGCTTCCAGTGAAGTTACCTTTAAATTTGAGATTTTGCAGTCAAACACATGCCACTGTCACAGAATAACCTGAACTTCACTTTAAAATATCTCGACACCTTTAACTCTAACATTGTTTACTTTATCTCACAATTTCCTATAGTATATTGCATAATTGATAATCGACACATTCTTTCCTTAAATGAAAAGCTGACATGATAAAAAAGGATTATTATTATTATTATTATTATTATTATTATTATGCATTTAATGCTATAACAACAGTTTAATCAATATGGCCTTTGTTGTGTACTTTGTCCATAGAATACTTCATAATCAGTTTATTATTCAGTACTTTTAGATTTTTCATTGCTGTGTTACGGCATGTGGCAAGACAAGGACAATCTTAAGAGGCCATACTGAAGAAAGTGGGAATCTGTATCAGCTCATAAAACTTAGGGCAGAAGAGGATGATCCAGCTTTATTGAAATGGTTAACAGATCGTGCCACTGCATATGTAAGCCCTAAATCGCAGAATGAAATCCTGAACATT